CTAGGGCCTTGTGCATGAGAGGCAGGCACTCTACCAACTGAGTTATTTCCCCAACCCCATAAGTGCTTTTATATATATAAATGTTATAGATGGACACAATATCTTTATTTTTTATTTTTATATGGGGCTGAGGATTGAATCCCAGGCATGCAAAGCAAATGCTTTACCACTGAGCTACAATCCCAGTTCCCCCATAAGTGCTTTTTAAACAGACTCTTGACCAGTGCTTTTGTGCTTGGTGTCTACCACATTTATTCCCAAAGCCAGAAATATTTTGCCATCAGTTTTGAGCCTTTTGGAGTTCATTGTTCAAAGAATTGCTTTTAGGTTTTTCTCCAGGCAGGTTTTTTTGGTCTGCTAAAGTTAGTTCTATTTGTTCATTGTCTTTCAAGATTTCAGTGTAGATAGTGCATATGTCTATGTGTGAGCATGTCTTTGTGCATGTGTATGCATTTCCTGTTGAGTTTATCTTAGTTGGTTGAGGCTTAAAAGAAAAAAGTCTTTAGTAAGATGTTAGTGAATAACGTAAATGTGACTCATCTTTTAACTTAATATAAGAAGAATATATTTTTAAAAAGTCTCATGATATTAAAAAAAAAAACCATGTTGTCTTGCCTCATATCCACCAGTGTTTCACCTCTTGTAGTGGATTTTTTTTTTTAAACTTGGTTTTCTTATTTGTTCTTAGCATCTTTCTTTTGATTTTAAAATGAATTCTTGAATATCTTTTAAGTGATTTTTTCCTAGTTTTTTTCTCCTTTAATTTGTTCTTCCAGAGTAATGTTTTCTTAAATTTGAATTAATTATTCTGTTTTGTTCATTTTATGTTTTTGAGTCTTTCTCAGCCCTCTCTCTGATCATTGGTTTTTTATTTGTATCTGAATAAGACATTAAAAAATTGATGGATAACTCTCCTTACCTCATGGGACTGACTGACTGACTTTGCATTATGATGATTGGAGGTTTGGGGATCTCCAAATGCCATCATTTAGGGGTCTATTCTCTATGGCTATTTAGTATAGAGCTAAGAAACCTTTTTTTCTGTCAGGGCTGGGTCTAGAGTATGACTGTTGTACATCAGACTTAGGTCCAGTGTCCCTCTTATGAGCCCTCTGATGTGCTTGTATTTGTAGGTTTACATTTTGTCTAGAGAGTCTCGTGTTTTTTATGCTTGGCTTTCTCTTCCCTATAAAGTCAATTATTGTTCCTCTTTCTGTTTTCTTTGTTTCATAAGTGTTTTTTTCCCCCCTGATGTTAATTCTACCTTTCCCTTTGTCTTTATGGACTTTACATTTTAAATTTCAACTGCCATTTTAGTGTGGTCTCAGGAGAGATAGGATATAAATGTGTGGCCAGGCTACCATCCTTAGCCATCTTTTGTTGTCAGATGGATGAGAATGAAAGAGGTAGAAAAAAGAATTGCACTTGGCTTTGGGAATGTTCATGGGTAAGATTTGCTTGTGCATAGCATCTGAAGATAAGGATAGGTTGGAAATTTCGGCTTTATAATACAATAGTTATATATAGTCACCTTGCCAACTCATTTATGTTTGTCTACAATGGTATGTGGTATATTTGTTGAATTGAATTTATTTATTTTTTAGTGGCTAGTAACTTTTCTAAAAGTTTTTCATTCACCTTGCTGATTTTTCCATTTAACCACAGTCTGAGATTCAATAATACAAAAAGAAGTGTACTCTATATACAAATATAAATAACTTTCCTCCCCCTTACCTCTTTTCTTTCTTCTTTATAGTCTGGCTAAACAATTCTTTCATGAGCTCTTAGAATAATGAAACTTTAATTTAAAAAAAATGCTTGCTTTCCTTCTCTAAATTAAAGAGTGAGTTTCTGTTGGGCTGGGGAACGTGTCTCAGTGATAGAGCGTTTGCCTGACATACATGAAGCCCTGGGTTCAACTCCCCAACACCACAAAAAGAAAAGAAATAAAGAGTTTCTGGTGATTTCTCTTATAATATATGGAACATCAAATTATTCTTATGGAATCGTACAATAAACAAGTTTTAAACCTATACTATATGTATATGTTGGTTCTTTATTTCTGGTTTGTGACATTTGTTCATCTTTTTTTTTTTTTTAAGGTAAATGGGCAATGTGCTGGCCATACAGCTATGCAAGCGGCTAGTCAAAATGGACATGTTGATATTTTGAAGTTACTTCTGAAGCAAAATGTGGATGTAGAAGCAGAGGTAATTAAACTAAGCTTGAAAATATTTTAAGTAAAAATTATCTTAGAAATAACTCTATATGAGATAGATTTTCATTCTCAAAATTTAATACTTACCTAATACTTTTCTGATTGAAAATTAAATTTTAACAAAAGCTAGCTTAAAGTATTTTTTGTTTTTTTATGATTCTTCCAATATTTTAGGAATAGCCCTAGGTGAAAAGAGGATTTGCATTTCCTGCTAATCTGATGGAACCATTGTGCTATTGGGAGCCCAGCTGGGTTCACCTAAGAATCATACTAGGAATGTTGAGGGCATGGGAACACAGACATTCTTGAATCAGAGTCTTTCCTGATCTCTGTGATACTCAGAGATAATTCTTTGTTTTTTGTCATAACTGAATTTGTGTTTGTGTAGACTTCTGGTTTCTTGACCTTAATGTGAATCTTTGAAAGTTATAGTGCATGCTTATCACTGTACATATATACATACATTTAACTTAGAGTTTTTAAAAAAAAAAAAATATATATATATATATATAAATCTATTTATTTATTTATTTATTTATTTGGTATCGGGGATTGAATTCAGGGGCACTTGACAACTGAGTCACATCTCCAGCCCCATTTTGCATTTTATTTAGAGATAGGGTTTCACTGAGTTGTTTAGTACCTTGATTTTGCTGAGGCTGGCATTGAAACTCCTTCTGCCTTAGCCTCCTAAGCCACTGGGATTACAGGCATGTGCTACCATGCCTGGCGAGAATATTCTTATGAGAGGAAAATAAATATATCTTATTGTCTTTGGAATTTCAGTTGAGAATCTATATGTATGTATTGGATAAAGGGTAGCTTGCTTTGTTAATTATAACCTCATATTAAATATATACTTGGATTATATTTGTTTCAGTGTCATGCAAAATTATGTAGAGTAAGTCAGAAGCTAGCAAATTTAGCTTAGGCAGGATATTACAGTTCTGTCCAAAAGCTTCTCTCTTCTTCTGGTGGACCAATCTATTTTTATGAATTAAAAAACCTTAAGACACACATTTGAAAAGACACACATTTCTAGTCATATGTTCCTTTTGCTTTTTTTTTTTTTTCCTTCTCTAGTTGTATGTATTTTTGAATTGTTGACAGCTCAAAAAGAGCCTATGGTGTTTCAGAGGTAAACAATTCATCTTGCTTGGAATTATCTGTTGCCCAAAAAGACCTGAATTTTAAATTAGCACATTAGAAATCTATGAACTATATAATAGTAGTTTTTTTAGTTGCATGTTTCTTGGATGTAAATTTAGGAATTTAGAACCTAAATGTGTGTTCTAAGAGTTTCTTTTGATGGTACAGTAAAGGCTTAAGTTAATTTTAGCATTTTGTAAGTGGAAGGCAATTAAATTTTTTGTTTTTTGTTTTACTTTGATTTGGGAAAATGGAGTGACGTTTCCTGACTGAATATCTCATTTTTAAAAATTTAATGAATCCAAAAACTGCAGTAACAAAAACTACTAAAATACCAAGCCCTTCTGATTATAGACAGTAAAGCAAGAGGTTAACAAAATTACATTCCTTTTTGCCTTATTTTTTAAAAAGTATGTTTTCTGATTCAGAAGTTCATTATTACAACTACCCATTGATTTATAAATCTAGAGGTTTCTGTTCACATGAGAGCCTCTGCAGAAAGAGGTGCACCTATAGAGTTGGAATGAAATTGGCATTGTTTTTCAAGAGTAGGTTTTCTTTCCTATGTAATTGAATTCATATATAGAACAAATGGTTAGTTAATGCTGTGAACATGTAAGATTGATGTTGACATGAGGATTAGTAGCCAGATGTTTGTAAATAATTTGTACCATACTCCTCATTTAGATTTCCATTCTGTACATTTTCTGTTTAAAAAACCATTGTAGACCTAATTTGTAGAAATAGAGTGGAAAAGGGATATTTACCTGTCAGATTAAATTTAATGACACTTTTTTGTTAATTGATTTTATTTTTTTAAATACACGACAGCAGAATGCATTATAATTCTTATTACACATAGGGCACAGTTTTTCATATCTTTGTATATAAAGTATGTTCACGCCAATTCATGTCTTCATACACGTACTTTGTTTTATTATTTTTTTAATTACAATTTTTATTATACATATATACCACAGTTTTTCATATCTCTGTTTATATATAAAGTTTGTTGACACACAATTCGTGTCTTCATATAAGTACTTTGGATAATGATGTCCATCACATTCCACCATCCTTGCTAATCCCCTGCCCCCCTCCTTTTCCCTCCCACCTCTCTTCCCTATCTAGAATTCATCTGTTTCTCCCATGTTCTCTCTCCCTACTCCACTATGAGTCAGCCTCCTTATATCACAGAAAACATTCGGCATTTGTTTCTTGGGGAATTTGCTAACTTCATTTAGCATTATCTTCTCCAACGCCATCCATTTACCTGCAAATGCCATGATTTTATTCTCTTTTATTGCTGAGTAAAATTCCATTGTGTATATATGCCCCCCCCTTTTTTTTTATCCATTCATCCACTGAAGGGCATCTAGGTTGGCTCCACAGTTTAGCTATTGTGAATTGTGCTGCTGTAAACATTGATGTGGCAATTAAACGCCTATCTCTCACCATGCACAAAACTTAACTCAAAATGGATCAAGGACCTAGGAATTAAACCAGAGACTCTGTGTCTAATAGAAGAAAAAGTAGGCCCTAATCTTCATTATGTGGGGTTAGGCCCCAACTTCCTTAAGAAGACTCCTATAGTGCAAGAATTAAAACCAAGAATCAATAAATGGGATGGAATCAAATTAAAGAGTTTCTTCTCAACAAAAGAAACAGTCTGTGAGGTGAACAGAGAGCCTGCATCCTGGGAGCAAATTTTTACTCCCACATATCAGATAGAGCATTAATCTCTAGGGTATATAAAGAACTCAGAAAGCTAAGCACCAAAAAAATCAGATAACCCAATCAACAAATGGACCAAGGACCTGAACAGACACTTCTCAGAAGAGGATATACAATTAACAAATATATGAAAAAATGCTCAGTATCTCTATCAATTAGAGAAATGCATATCAAAACTACTCTAAGATATCATCTTACTCCAGTTATAATTGCAGTTATGAAGACAAACAACAATAAGTGTTGCCGAGGATGTGGGGAAAAAGATACATTCATACACTGCTGGTGGGACTGCAAATTGGTGCAGCCAATATGGAAAGCAATATGGAGATTCCTTGGAAATCTGGAAATGGATCCACCATTTGACCCAGCTATTCCTCTCCTTGGACTATACCCGAAGGGCTTAATGACACTTTTTAATGACACTAACTCAAAGAAGAAAAACTGCATTTCAAAATTGAATTAAAATGTAAATACAACTGATGGCCCAAGATTAGAACAAAAATTCATTAAAGTCTCATTTTTTTTCTAGGATATAAGAATTAACATAGTCTATTAGACAGCACTATAGTTTGTTTTAAGTAGTCGTTCTCACTCAGCAGTATTTTTTTCCTACAGGGTAACTTTTGGAAATGTCTGGAGACATGTTTGATTGTTACACTGGGTGGGAGTAGGGGATTTACTACTTAAATCTATTGGTTGCAAGGTAAGATTGATACTGAATATCCTACAGTGTGCAGGATAGCTCTCACAGCAAAGAATTACCTGGCCTAATATGTTGATAGACATAAAGTTAAGAAAATAGCTAATTTTGCAAGTACACTTAAATTTGTGATTCACTTGCCAAGTTTAAAAAGTAATTTTTTTTATTAGTCTTTTTATTATTGGAAATTTTAAGCACTTGGAAAAACAGAATAGTACAGTGAACCTGTGTACCCATTACCCCATTACTCTACTTTAGTTGTTATTATTTTTTTGAAAACCTTAACTTTTTTTTTGTTATTGCCAATGGACCTTTATTTTATTTATTTATATGTGGTGCTGAGAATGGAACCTAGTACCTCACACATGCTAGGCAAGCACTCTACCAATGAGCTACAACTCCAGCCCCCACTTCAGTTGTTATTAATGACAGGTTTTATTTTATCTATATCTATATCTATATATATACATATATATATATATATATATTTACTTTATTTCCTGCACTGAATTATTTTGAGACACATCCAAATATCATTATTTCATCTAGTAAATATTTTAGTATGTATTCTAAAATATAAGGAGTCGTAGATCCAACATGGCGGCAGGCGGAGAGGCAGCGCTTTCAATACCCCCTCAGTGATGGGGTCAGAGAGATGCATAGATACGCTTGCTTAGATTCTACCTGCTGAGAATCTCCTACCAAAATTCCACTGAAGAGAGACCAGCTGGGAGTTACTAGGATTTTTTGAGGTGACATTTTGCCCCAGACGAGTGAATCCCCGCCACGAGACGCGGAGGTCCAGACCCGCCATCCACTGTCCGCGCGACGCTGAGCGGCCGCCCGCCCACAGGCACCATGACTGGGCGGCTAGCCTCCCAAGACGCAGTTTGGCAGAAAGAGGTCTCTAGCCAAGCCTTCATGAAATAGCGAGCCGGGAGCTGAGGCCAACCGGGGATGGACCAGTCCCACCCCTCCCTTCAGACACTCCGCCAAGGAGCCTGGGTCCCGCCATAGCAGAGAGGTGACGTCACTGGAGTTCGGCCGACCGAATTCCTTCCCAGCGGAATCCACGTTAGCAGGTGTGTGACTCCCACCCCATCCAGATACAAGCAGCCAGGAAACCTCAGGGATCTCTCCGGGGGTGTGTCTGTAGGGAAGCAGAGGGGATTCCCAATCCCCAACCCCCCATATCACCAGCGGCAACTCCCAAGGTCTTAGCCTCCAGTTTACCCCAGCACTGGAGCTT